CACACGCCTTATGGCTAAAGACCTGGCCAGGAGATGTGGCATCAAAAACTAAGCTGTGTGGACCCCGAATCAATGGGGACCTGCTGTTCGGACAAGAAATTGAAACAGTTCTAGATAGATCGGCAGACAGAAAAAAAGTATTCCCTCTCCCCAAGAAACAGAACAGAATTTTTCTTAGGGGACAGCGGAATCGGCCTGGGAAAAAAGTGGATTTCTTTTTAACCCCAACCCCCCCAAGACGCAATGACGAAGCAGCCATAACGGGACGAGGATTTGAGGGAATTCTTCCCACAATAGCAAAAGGTTACAAGCAACAGTTTTATTGTGAACCTAATCAATTGGGGCTACAGGATAGAATTGTTGAAGATCCCTCCTTTTAAGATTTTTTATTTACTCACGTTGTTTTACGCAAAAGGCTCTAAAGATGACTAATACCATTCAAGAACTTATAGACCTGGGAGTAATTTGCTCAGTCCCTATAGTATGGGAAACGGAAGGATTTTATTACCTTATCTTTCTAAGGGAAAAACACTCCAGGGGAATTCAGAGTCATATTCAACCTCAACAACTGAACAAGATTGTCAGTTACAAAAAGTTTCAGATGGAATCGATTTATTCGTTCAGGGAGTTATTAATGCCAAATGTATCTATCTGGCCACGGTGGATTTAAGGGATGTGTATTTACACATCCCTATTGTGGAAGAATCTCAACGGCTGTTGAGGTTCATGATCAAAAGCCCCGGGGAGATCTTGCATTTTCAATACAAAGCTCTACCTTTTGGGCATTCCTCAGCTCCAAGGATATTTACAAAAAATCTTGGCAGAAGCACTAATTCCCCATCTCCAGGTTAAAAGGAGGGTGGTCATTCCTTCATTTAGATGACCTATTATTTTTTGCAAGAGATCAGGAGGTGCTGAAAAGAAATTTATCTATGGCCATAGCCCACCTAGAAATGATCCCTTCCCAAACTAGTATTTTTGGGTTTACAAAGTATATACGGAAAAAGCTTGTCCAGAATAGCAAATTAGCAAAATATTGGCAGAAATAATGAATCTCTGTTTAAATGCAAGAGCATCATTCAGAATTATGATGATTTTAGGCCTGATGCCTGTGGTAATTTGGGCACAATTGCATGCCAATCCTTTTTAAGATAGCAAAAGCTTCATTTATTGAAGTTTTTTGTCATATGACCAAACAAGCGCTTTCGGGACCGCACTTTTGCTATCTTAAAAGGATTGGTGTGCTGGTGACATTTCTACAATTTTGCCAACATTCGTGGCGCCTTCCGCGGTCACTGCGAGCAACCCCCACTACAAGGGACATATCGGTAAGGAGTGCGACAAGGATAGTACTTACAGTTGCATGCCAGACTCCTTCAAAACTTTCTTGTGGCGGAATGGGATGGTCTTTGGACAAGGAGGTGGTAATATCCAGGACGGTAACCCAGTCACTAGGGTGGTGGCTGAAGCCAGAACATCCTATCCAGGGGAAGGCACTGGAGACAACCAGACCCTCTAAAGATTACGACTGATGCAAGTGCGTGGGGTTTGGGAGACCATTTGGCAGCACATGATACAGGGTTCTTGGAGCCGCAAGTCCTCAAGCACGAGGGAACTGAAAGCCATAGAGTGCGCTTTACTGGGATTCGCCCCCCGCATCAGAGCCTGCCATGTGCACATTTTATCAGACAATGCTACAGCAGTCGCATATCTGAACAAAGGCACACAGTCTCATCTTCTCATGCCTCTGGTGCAAGATATCCTGTTATGAACCGAAGAGAATCTTCTGTCTATTTCGGTAATACACTTGAAAGGAAAACTCAATATTTTTGTGAATGCATTATGCAGGAAAACCTTCCGGCAATCGGAATGGGAGTTGAACAACCAGACTTTCCACATGATTACCCAAAAGTGGGGGATGCCGAATGTAGATCGGTTTGCCTCCAGAACAAACAGGAAGGTGGATCAATTCTTCTCTCAGCAGTTGGAGGAAGGAAGCTTAGGGGGTGAACGCATTTCTATACCCTTGGAAGACTCCGCTGGCATATGCTTTCCCTCCTATTAGGTTTATTCCGAAAGTCATCTACAAAATTATAGAGAAAGCATTGTCCTTGGTGACCAGGGAGACCTTGGTTTGCACATCTGCTAAAAGTGTCAAACCTCCTTGGATACTTCCAACAAAGGCTGATCTGCTTCAACAAGGGTCAGTACTTCATCCCCAAATAGTGTATCTACACCTTACCCTGTCGAAGGGGTTGTCGACAGGGTAATTTCTACCCTCATTTTTAGCAGGAAACCGTCTACTTTAGCAATTTACAAGATAAAGAAAACATTCGTTTTGGTGGTTATCTAATGACCACGCAAACAAACCAATGTTGGTTTCAATATTAGAATTTCTACAAGACTGGAGTAGAGAAAAATTTGTCTTACAGGCCTTCTTAAAAACTCCGTTCGAACTGATTGATGGTTGTTTTTTTAGATTGCTCTCGCTAAAGACGGCATTGCGGTAGCCATCATTTCAGCCAGAAGAATTGGTGAAATGCACGCTTTTTCAATTTTGTATCCTTACTGCACGATCCTGTGTTCTGTGAAAAACTAAAACTACTTTTGGCAAAATAAAGCCAAGAGGAGGTAGTAATTCCCTCTTTTTGCACCAACCCATCAAATGAAAAAGAGGCAGCCTTTCAAGGCATTGATGTCCGTAGATGTGTATTAGAATACTTGAACAAAACAAAGAAAATAAGGAAATCAAATTATAAAACTTATACGTCTTATTTTCAGGGCCAATGCACAGTTTGAGGGTCTCAGAAAGTTCTATAGGAAGGTGGATCAAGTCAGCTATTAAAGAAACTTACAATCTTCAGAATCTAAAACCGCCAGAGCATCTAACAGTGCACTCCACAAGGGCCTTGGCTTCATCATGAGCAGAAAGAGCAGGGGCTACACCAGATCTGATTTTGCAGAGCTGCTACCTGGTCCAGCTTCTCCACATTCTTCAAGCATTACAGGATTGACGTTGCTGCTAACGAAGACCAGGCTTTCGGTAGAAAGGTTCTACAAGCTGTGGTCCCCCCTAATTGAGTATGGTGCTTGCATATCCTCTCTGATACTGTCCTGAAAGATGACTATAGAAAATTAGTTAGGTACCTGCAGCACACCTCACTTATCACCACTGGAGCACCAGGGATCATCGATCTGCCTCCTCCCTGCAAAAAGGTAAGCAGGAGAGGGGGCTCTGTATTTTATATGTGGATGTGCGGTGGGGGGGGAGGGTTTTTTATATGTGGGTGGGGTGTAGTTTTTTTTTTTTTTAATGTGCAGGGGAAGCTTTTTTTTGTGTGGGAGT